TTCTCATGGACAAGGTAAAAATCATGTACATTCACTTTTTCTTTCCACAGATTTTATAATACAATACATTTTCTCGTGCGATTTTTTTTTTTTTTTCAAATACAAATTATCTTAAACAAAGGATAATATTAAATATTAAATGGAAATAACACATTTTATATGGATTATAGAATACAAATTTTAGAGCAGACAAAACATTCTATAAGCCGTGTCGCATTCGTTATTTAACAAATTTTTTATATTCGTTTTCTTTTTTCCAACAAACCCTACAATTTAAAACAACAAAAAAAAAACATCTATTGGACTGTCAAATAAATAAAATAAATAAAGAAACAACAAAAATGTAATACCTAAATATCATGAAACACTACAAGAAAAATCTATTAACAAATTTAAATACCAAACAATTACAGAGAATAAATAACTCTTTCAAATATAAATACATAAAAAAATAATTATAAAGCGTATGGGCCGGCTGTACTAAGCACAACAGGTAGGTTTCAAGTATTTAATTTAATAAAATACTAATTTGCATATATTTGAAATTGTTCTTAAGGGAAAACATGAAGACATATATGGGGTATGGGGGCAATATGTTGACCAACAGATTGTATTTGTGATGCATTATTCTGAAGAAGAATCACAATTTGTTTTTAATAAATTGTTGAATAATATAAATTTTATTTTCAATATTTTATTAATGTTATGATCATTCTTTTATTATATACTTTGAATACAAAATTGCCTTTTAAAAGGCTTAGAAATAAAAAAGCTTCCGTACATCGCTCGCACAGATACTATACTAGTAATATATAATAAAACTAGTACAACGTCCGTGTATTACCCGGGTGCTTACTAATTTTTTTCTTAAAATTTAAAATCAATGATGATGGGTCTCTTCTCAGATCTGGAACGGTCCAATGGGAAAACGTCCGGATCTGGGTCGAACCGGTGCGAATGAGCTTAGATCTGATGTGATGGCGTTCGAACCGTTGTTGAGCCGCAAGAACACCTGCAAGAACTCAACGCCGGAGGGGTTTCCGGCGTAGAGCCTCCGACGCTCAAGTCAGTATATGAGAGAGATGATGGGAGCTGCTATCAGAGCAGCAGCAGTAATGAATAGGATATGGAATGAATGGGAATTAGGGTTTTGGGATTACCTCAGTCCTTTATATAGAAGTGTAATATTTACCTGAAGTCCCCAAAGTACCCCGGCCGACTCAATAAAAATGTCCAGAATACCCCGGTCGGTTTGCATTCTGCCCACTTCCTAGTCAGCATCTAGATCCTTCCTTAGTTTCCTTCTTATCTTTAACTCTTCTTCAATATGCTGAGGTGTGTCAAAGCTATCGGGAACCACGAACTGCAAGACTCCTTCAGTCGACTTGAGGTATTGAGTCGAGTCGACTGGATCGCACCCCACCGTTAGTGTATCCTGATACGTCTGATCGCTGCCTTGCCAGAGGTCGACTTGTTCTAGTCGACAGGTGTACGTCGACTTGGTCGGGAACCGGGCTTCTTGATTGAGTACCGTGGAACCCTACTGGCGGAGTCGACTGTGTTGACATCGACTTGGCAGCTTCGAACCGTGATGATATGAACCGTTACTCGGCAGTATGGCTATATCAAATGAGAAAAAAGTAGTTAAAATTTAATACCTTTTATAAAAATATATATATAAATATATATTATATATTTAGTATGATACTTTTTATTTGTGCTACTTACCTGTGTTATATTATAATAATTTTTTAACTTACACCATATAAGTACATTAAACTTAAATAATATATCAATTGAGAAATAATTTTATTTTTCTAATGAATTTTAGTAAATATTATTATTTTTTATTAATATAAAGTCAAATATAATTTATTTATTTCATATATACAATATGGATGTCAAATCGAAGATCATCAAAAGATGTTTAATTTGATATATTATATACGTAAAACTGATAAGAAATACAAAAGTTATCAACTTTTAAAATACATTTACAATTCATTAGCTAATTGTAGGAAGCAAATCAAAAGTTCTGGATATATTAGTCACTTAGTGTCTCACTGTATAAAATTACAATGAATTAAAGATTTCTTAGTACAAGTGATATTAAATTACCTAAATTAGGTAAATAATATTTATGGAATGTCTGAACCGAGATTATTAATTATTAATATTTCAATATTATATGTCCAAACCTAATTATGATGCATGATTCTTCGCCAAGTAAGATTCCGAAACACCAGAAGCAGCCACTTAGACTCAGAGCATTCGAAAATCAATATCTATATCTATATCTATATCTATATAAAAAGGTTGTTGGAAAATTCATTTTTGGAAAGCTAAAAAAACAGTCAAAACGTTGACTTTTTAATTGTGGAAATTTTTCAAAAAAATCTGGATTTTTTTTTTCTTTTTTCTAAACAACTTTCCATGTTTCATGCAAGGATATCTATTAAAGATTTTTTCCAAGCATTCATGTTTGAAATTTAAATTTACTCTTATCCAAGCGTACCAATTATAAAGCCGATTGAATTCAACTTCAAAATTTAAATTTACACTTATCCAAACATATCAGTTATTTTTCAAAGCCAGTTCACACACTTTAATTAAGGCCGATATTGTTATTTGCATATAAAAATAGTACACAATTTAAATATTATATTATATAATTATTTTCTAATATTGATGTGTAACCGCATATAAATATTGTATACAATTTAAATATTATAATTTATAATTATTTTTTTATCTTGATGTATAACCGAATATCATCGCCAACCTGCATGGTGATGTAAAATATTACACTTACACACAATACAAAACTTTAATAAATAATAAATTTACACACGATTGATTAAGATGTCAAAAATAAAAAATTTACACGATAAATCGAGATGCCATATATTGCTACCAAATCTTTAGGAAACATGCAATTTCAAGATGTCAAATATCATTTTAAATAAATTGAAAAATAATAAATTTACACGATAAATCAAGATTTCAAAAATAATAAATTTACACTATAAATCAAGATGCCATATATTGTTAGCTAATATTTAGAAAACATGCAATTTTAAGATGTCATATATCACTTTAAATAAATTGAAAAATAATAAATTTACACGATAAATCAAGATGCCATATATTGTTAGCTAATATTTAGGAAACATGCAATTTCAAGATGTCAAAGATCACTTTAAATAAATTGAAAAAAATAATAAATTTACACGATAAATCAAGATGTCAGAAACAATAAATTTACACAATAAATCAAGATGGCATATATTGTTATCTAATCTCTAGGAGACATGCAATTTCAAGATGTCGAATATCACTTTGAATATATCTTCTTAATTTCTGTTGTTAGAAACTCAATTAAATTAATTAAACAACACAATATTTTATAATTTACTTAAAAAAATATCTCGCCATAATTGTTTTTCAAAACTTGCAATATATATCTACTTATATTGGCTTCCCCGAATCTTTATAAATATATTTCTTATTATTGGTCGAATATAATATTTACTAAATTACCACGGAAATATTTTTTGAAAGCTCTCGGTATCAATCCAATACCTATATTCCATATTATTTAGATGTCTATTCAAATGGAAAGCTAAATAACCTATATATTTAGTTTTCTATATTCTAGATTAAAAGATATCGAGGGCCATATATAAACATATGTAATCGTCTATATATATTTATTCACTATGAAAATGTTTATCGCGAAACAGTTTTTTGAAGTAAGCAAGCAACCTGAGTATTATCATCTTACTCCGCATATGAACGTATATCTATGCTTAAAAATATGTTTTATGTTTATGTAGCTACTAATAATTTTATTTTTATTTTGCAGCGAGAGTGAAAATACTGCGCATAAGGAGATTGAAGTACCGCCACAATATCATACATGTTTCAATGGCTTCAAATGAATTCAGACCATCAAGTGCAACAAAAAATGGAGGCAATAAACATGGCAGGAAATATCATGACGAAAAAGATTCAAAGGTAATATTATTATATGCAACCTACATTTTTTTTACAGTTTTCATTTTTTTTTTCGGATTTATGTCAAAAGTTATAGCAAAAAAATACAGTGAATAAATTAATTTTCCTATATTATATTTATTTAAATTCAGTAACAAAAAATAGTTTAATTTGTTATTCAATATGTTGAAAAATAAATCATACTCCAGATAGTTTAATTTCCCTATCGTACTGTGGCTCTACTTTCGAATCTATTGAGTCGGCCTTTAATTATATTTTTTTGTTTTAGTTTTTTGTTATTAGTTGAATAAACAGGTCGCATCTTTCATAAAAAAAAACTCGAATAATTCCAATATTATTGGATCGGGCATCATGATAGACATCTTCAGACAACGATAATAAATACAACTCTTACTACACCAATCAAGTTTCCACCATATATTATTCTTTGGTGACGATGACTCACCACCAAATTAAGCCAAAACATTGTATACACGAAAGTGTTTAATAACTTATAATTTTTTATATTTACTCACGACATGTTTATGTTTGTTACATATATAATAAGTCCATTAAATATAATATTCATTATTAAAAATAAAATCAGTCAAATATATCATCCCGTGCATCGCACGGGCTGCGACTAGTTGTATATAGAAAAGGGAATGTGACAAAAGGAAAATAAATAAATACATAATATTAAATTATATAAATATGATTTGATCGTAGAAATTCACGGCTATACGTGGAGTAGTAACATATGATTTGCATATATGATTTGCATTGGCAGAAAGAGAAAAAAAAAAAAA